TGCCTTCTGCAATGGCATCTGATAAAGGCCCTGATCTCCCATCGCTCCAGAGGGCTGGTGGCCCCTCTGTGTGCAGGTGCTGTGCCAGCCCTGGGAGTACAGAGTCACCTGAGGTGGAGCCCAAAAGGACCCCCAGGTTCATGGTCACAGGTGGGTACAGCCCAGGGGCTCAGGGCAGCCAGAGCAGAGCATGGTGACCACAGGGTGGTCAGAAGAGCTGGCAGAGGAGGGACTGCTGAGCATATCCCAGGAGAACATGGACAAGGAGGAGGAGTCGCCAGGTGGGCGATCGAGTTCCCAGTGAGCTGTGACAGAGGTCCAAGCATGTGGGGGCTCCCAGCCGGCCCGTGTGCTTGGGCAGGCGCCCTGGCAATGGAGAAGCATGGCAGGTGGGCGTGGCACCAGCCCCGCCTGCTGCGGAGGAGCTGCCCAGGACATTCTGGGCCTGCTTTCGTGGCTTCCTTCATGGTGTTGCTGGGGGCCAGGAGAGCCCAGAACTTCCCAGCTGGCCTCTCAGCAGTGGAGAAAGAGCTCGGCCTGCCACAGCGGAGTGGACTCCTTGATGGAGTCAGTCTTCATGGAGAGACCAGAGAGTCTTCGCCGCCGCGGGAGCCTCCCTGGGATCCACAGAGGGTGGATGGGTAGGCCGTCCACTGCCCTTGAGCCAGACACTTCCTTGTCTGAGGTGTTTCTTCATGTGCTACACACTTTTAGTGTTATAGGTGTTTCTTTAAAAGCACTGGTGTGCTATTCACCCCAGGCCCCAGATCCCCGTGGACGGATGGGGTGGCTTCTGGCTGCATACTGGCCCTGGCCCCAGGGGGTTAGCAGAGCCCAACTGACCCTGAGGACAGCCAGGTGGGATGTAGGTTCCACCTCCCAGTCAGGGGGCCTCTCCTGTCTGCACCAGCATTAACCTGCCTCTGCTCTCTCACTTGCCTGTTAGGCAGGTTTTGGTGCCAGAATGTTCCCCAAGTCCCCCCGCCAAACACTGTCAGGGGGTGGAAGTGATCCTATCTCACAGTGGGGCCACACTTCAGGCCACTCTCCAGCCCCTGGTTTCTGCCGCTCTGTGCCACCCCCTCCTGTCCCCACTGCTGCCAGGCACAGCCATTCTGTGCCTCCTCAGGCAGAGCTGGAGAGGCACCGGATGCTGGGATGCGTCAGTCTTGATTGTCACCTCTGAACCCCCCGCCCTTACTTGCCCCACTCACCTATCAGCCACAGGGTCACTGGACCTTGGTTAGGTTCATTGCTGCGGCTCTGGGCGGTGTCTCAGGGCTAGGCTGTCTGCCCCTGCTCGATTTTGGCCTGATCCCCCCATAATCCTGGTTTGTTTTTACCCCCAAGATCAGGGTAGGGAGATGGCTGGCAAGCTTCTGAAAGTTGGATCCGTGTGGAAAACGCCAGTTACTTGTTGGGCCTCCTTCACCCACAGCTTCCTCACACCTGTGGGTTTCAGCACCCACCTGATTCCTGGTAGCAGTTTGTGCAGGGCTCCTGGCCACAGACACCCATAGGCACATTTCTGCTTAGTGAGTTCCAATTTCTTACCTTCCAAGTCAGCTGGCCCGTGAGGCCAGCAGGTGGACTCGGGGGGACATTTACTCAAGGCCAGCTCTGTGCCTGGGGGGTGGGGTCCCTTAGAAGAGCCCTAGGGTTTGCTGGCAGGAGCAGGTCCTTTCTGGGTCTTTGTTTCCAGGAACGGGGCAGGGGAAGCTCAGCGGGAATGTACTCAGAGAAATAAGGAGTGGCTCCCTGAAGGCCGTCAGGTGTCTGGCCAGGAGGCAGGAGAACAATATTCGGAAGAATCAGAACTCAGCTGCCCCAGGAGGCTCCTGGGCAGCAGGAAGAGGTGGTGTGCAGGCAGCAGGGGTAGCTCCTAGGCTCCCTGTTAGAGATGAAAATCCTTAACAAAATGTATCATTGTAACCATTTTATGTGCACAATTCAGTGGCATTAGTACATTCATGGCTGTGTAACCACTGCACCATTGCCTGACCTTTCTCATAATCCCAAACAGAAGCCCTGTCTCCCCACTGCGTCATCCCCTCAGCCCGGGAACCCCTAAATCACCTTTCTGTTTCTAATGAATTTCTACATGTTTTCCGTTAGCAGGCTGCACAGTGTTGCGATCTGTGCCTGGCTTCTTCCGCTCAGCAGAATGTTTTCAGGGCTCATCCACGAAGTGTGTGTTCATTCCTTTTTATAGTCAGATAATTTTCCATTGTGTGGATAGACCACATTTTGTTTATCCATTCATTGGTTAGTGGACACTTGAGTTGTTTCCTCTAAAAATGAATTTTTAAGTATATACAAGTAACAGTCCTATTATCCTCGGGGAAAGGGAACGGTGATGGGGCTCCTCTGACGACACCCTTCCCTGACCCTTCCTCTCTTGCCATGAGACCCATCCACTCTTGCTCTTTCAAGACTAAATCATTTTAATCAACAACAAAGAGCATAGTAGGACCCTGAGCTGTGGAGTGATGGGACAGAAATGGCTTTGGACTTGGAATCAGGAAAGTAGTCCTTGAAGCCTAACTTGTCCTTTGGCAAATGGTTTGCCGACCCCCCCCCCCAACCTCTGGGGCCTGTATTCTCATCTCCAGCTCAGGAATGTGTCACTGACTGGCTGGGGCTGCAGGACAGGCCGGTTCTCCTGCTAGCAAGTAGGCAGTTAAGAAACTTTTTCCGAGAATGTCCCTGTTGTGCTCATGGTAAATTTATTTTGTGGGTGATACATGTAGATAGCAAACAAAACAGAAAAGAGTGTTTCCCCTGCTGTAAGTTTCCCTCCACCCCCTGTGCTCTGCTTGGCCCTGTCTTGCCTGCCCTCCCAGAGATGCAGTAGCTGCAAGGCCTGGGGGTACAGTGGGCCTTTCCCAAGTGCAGTATTGTATCTTAGAGATTGTTCCATGTTGATACAGAGAGTTTCTACTCTGCTGCCGGATACATTGTACTTAACCTCTCTTGGGGGCAGACAGTTAGGTTTCTTGCAGTCTTTGTTACAATTCTTGGACACATACCTTTGTACCTTTGTTCCTTTGCAGGTGCACCTGCAAGACAGGTTCTCTTTGGAGTGACTATTTCAGGGCCAGATGGGAGGGTGGGAAGCACTGCCAATCAGCAGAGCTGCAGATCTGGGGGCTTTGGACCTGCCCACTCCCGGGTGCCACACCCCATGTCCTCCTGCCTCTCCCCCTCACACCATGCTTCTGGGAAAGGGTCAAAGTCTTGTATCCTAAGCCTCAGAAGGAGTGGTTTTTCAACTTCTGTTTGCGTTTAAACCTTCTATGCAAACAAGGTTGTCTTACTCCCCACGTGAAGCTCCCGAGGATGGGGGCTCACGCTGCTCTTCCTTCCTGTGTGGGATGTGATGACTGCTGGCTTAGAGCAGAGTGTCCCTGAGAGCCCTCTAATGTTGGAGTGGGGAGCTCAGAGGTTACTGACCTCGGTCCTCTTATTTTACCCTAGAGGGCAGAGCCCAGAGAAGGGCAGTGGTGTGCAGGGCCTCACATAGAGACTGGGGTGCCTGCCTGGGCTCCTCCCACTGGAGGAGCCTGTTTTCTGACACTGGGGCACCTCACTAGAAGGTGGTGTGTCTAGGCAGGATTTCACCCTGAGAGAATCCTCAGGTAGGTGGGGGGAGTCTGGTGGCCGGAGCTGGGGCTAGTGGCCATGGGGACCATCCCTTCAAAGCAGGTGGAAGCCCCGCTGTGCACGTTACTTCCCAGCCTGCTTTGACATTCACGACTTCATATCTCATAGCCCTTCCCAGGTGAAGAGGGGAGGGGTGCCTCCCCAGGGATACCTCAAAGCCAGGGGAGCCAGCATGGCTGTCCTTGGGGTCCTCTCTGTTGATGATGTTGCTCAGAGGGCCTGGCCATGCCCCTGCCAGGGGACAGCCCCAGGCAGCCAGTTTTGGGCCTTACCTTGAGGGTGGCCCCAGCTGTCTCTGCCAGGGGCTGGGAACAGGCAGCATTTTCAGGGGTTCTGGAGACTCCCAGTAAGCTGGACCCCATGTCTCCAGACTCCTTTGGGCTCTGGCCTTGGGGAGGAAAGCTGAGGCTACAAGTCTCAAAAGGGTCTAGAAAAAGTCCAGGGTCAGACACGACTCCAGCCAGAAACTAATACAGGAAGGAGCAGGCAGGCAGGAGGCAGGCAGAAAAGCAGGCGGCATTTAACCACCAGGCTTCACGGAAGCTGGCGTTGCTGGCTTTAGAAGACTTTGAAGGTCTGGGCCTGTGTTCCCCCTGGCATCAGTCAGCCTGTGTGGAGCTGAGTCCCTTATGCAGCGGAGGTCCAGACCCGGGCCAGGGGTCCAGCCACACCCAAGTGGGCTCTGCCTCTTACACTATGGGGCCTACCCCTTCCTCAGCCCACCTCAAGGGTAGCAAAGGCCAAAAAGGTGGCCTGGGTAAAGTGCCCAGTACACCCTGGACTCAGACTCTGGCCTGCCCACCCGGGGAACAGGCCTGGGTGGATGGTCTGGCTGTTATCACTGCTGTCCTATGGCAAAATGATCAAGGCAAAGCTGATGGTGGTGGCAGGCGTGACTTGAGGTGGCCCCCAAGCCCGGCTAGCCCTGGCTTCCGCGGGTCCTTGGGCGGCGACTTCGGCCTCCCTACGGTCCCCAGAGGGCGCTGCGCCCTCATGTCTCCTGGAGCAAACCGAAAGTCGCCGGGGCCACGCGGGGCGCAGTGGCGCGTGGGGCGCTGCCCGGGAAGCCAGGCGTTGGGGAGCCTGTACCACACGCTCTGTCTGGGGCCGCCCGGAGAAGCGCCGCCTGCTCACCCCCGTGCGTACCCCGAGCAGCGGCGCCAAAGCCTGGGGCGGGGGTGGGGGTCTCCCGGGGGCGTGCCCTGGACAGGGGTCTCCAGTCCGCCGGTTTGCTGGCCCAGACCCGGAGGGCCGGCGGGGCGCGCGAGCCGCGTGCAGCCGCGGAGGGGGTGTCCTGGCGCGCGGGCCGTCGGGGAAGCGCGGGGGCGGGCACGCTGCGGAGGGCGGGGGCCGAGCTTATAAATGCCCGCGGGCCGAGCAGGAGGGAGGGAGGCGCGGAGCAACCGTCCGGCCCTGCTTGGCCTCCGCGAGCCGCCGAGAGCTGCGCCGCGCCGCGGGGAAGGCTACCACCGGAGCGGGCGCGGGCCCCGACCGTCGACACCGGCGGCGCGCGGCGAGACCCGGACCGAGGAGGAGGAGGGGAGCACGGGGGCGCTCGGGGCCCTGCCGGCCCACCGGGGTGCTGGCCGCTACGCGCGGCACGTGCGGCGACCCGCCCAGTGCGCCATGGCGCGCCCGCTCCGGGTGCCCCGCGCCGCCCCGTAGCGCCGCGGCGGCAGAGCGACCTCCGGCGGGCCCCCCGGGCATGGAGCCGCACGTGCTCGGCGCCGTCCTCTACTGGCTGCTGCTGCCCTTCGCGCTCCTGGCTGGTGAGTGGGGGCGGGCTCGGGGCCGGGCCGGGGGCTGCGTCCCCGCTCCCCACTTCCCGGAGAGGCGGGCCGTGCGCGGGCGGCGCGGAGTTTCCCGGGACGCGCGGCCCTCGGCACCCGCATTCCAGAGGCATGAGAGCGCCGGGCGGCCGGGGCCCCCGTCCGAGCGCCGGGCCGGGAGGGTGCGGCGGGGAGGGGAGCTGGCACCCTGGCACCCTCGGGTGCGGGCCGGCGAGTGCCGCCGGTGCCTCCGCGGGGCGCGCGGGGTCGGGTCAGCGGGACCGGATTGCTTGCCCTCGAGGAAGGGCTGGAGCGGTGGGGAGGGGGCGCGGATCTCTTTTTCTCTATCGTGTCAAAAAAAAAAAAACAAAAAAAAAACAAAAAAACATATACACTTTACTCAGCATCACATANATCAAAAAAAAAACGAAAAGCGCAAATTGCATCATGACTTCCTAACCAATCTGGGAGAAGGCGGGCTTCCTGCCTGGATAAGTTTGATCTGGAACCTCCGGAGCAGAGCTAACGGCGGTGGCCTGGGCCCGGCCCCCCACCCTTCCCCTTCCCCGCGCGCAGCCGGACTGGGACAGGCTTAACCTGGAAAAAAGCGTTGGGGTTGCTCCCCGCCCTTGCCCCGTTCTGGCTCACCCCTCTGGTCTCTAGGGCTCCGGGAGGGGCCTGGCCAGCTGTGCCCGGGGCCGGGGGAGGGAACGCCCCAGGAGGCTCCAGGGTGCAGGGTCCCCTGCCTGCCCGTTTGTCGGTGCCCCTTCGGAAGTCAGGTCGTAGTGGTTCTCAGGGCGCAAAGACCTCCCACCTGCACCCCTCCCAGCCTCCCTGTGCCCGGGGCATAGTGCCCAGGGCTCATAACGCCCTTTGCCTGGCCCTTGGCGCCCTCCACGGGGACTGTCTCTGCTGGGTGTGAGCTGGAAAAGCAGGCTGATCACATTAACTCACGGAAACAAGGAGCGGTTCGCATTGTGAGACTAGGGTGGAAGTCTGTCGGGCCGTGTGTTTGTGTGGGTTTATTCTGAAAGCCTGCTAAATCGCTCCAGGTAGGCCTCTGCCAACTTATGCTGTGGGTGGGAGCAGGCTCCCAGTGGCCCAGGAATTGGAGGAGGGGGGCGGTCAGCAGGCTGCGCTGCAACTCCCAGACGGACTGTGTTTTGATTTATAACAGAGAAAGGTGGGGATACCGGAAAATGTTCAGGACAGGAATCAATGAAAACCATTGAGGCTGGAGGGGAGGGTCTGAGTCAGCCCTGTGTGGACAGAAGCATGCGGAATCTGCCCGGGGCACAGGGCCATCTGGGCTGTGCGCTGTGGTGGCCTGTCTGCCTCCTCCTGCCTCAAGAAAGCCCAGCGTGCAAACGCATTGGACAGACCCAGCTGGAGGTCAGACTTAGAAGCCAGGGAGGGGGCGGGTAAGCTCTCAAAGGCACAGGCTCACCTCTGTCACTGTGCACCACGCCTCAGCCTGGCCTTTGCAGATGGGAAGAAAATTAGGACTCCTTCCTGGAGGGTGCCTCCTCCCACTGGTGCACCTCGTGCGGGGTCGGCAAGCTTCTCCTGTAATGGACCAGGTGTAAATAAATATTCTCACATCACACTCTTCTGATATGCTTTCCAACCATTAAAAAATGTAAAAACCACTCCTAGCTGGTGGATTGTACCAAAATAAGTGGCAGGGCAGGTTCAGTACGAGGGTTAGGTTGACACCAAGAGTTAATTAAGTCAAGGGTCTCATTCCAGGACTGTCTGGCTCTTGGCTGCCCCGCACCTGAGTGATCAGGGGGTCTCTCGTTCTCTGGAGGCGGGGGGTGGTACCGGCCAGGGGTTCCAGCTGGGCCCAGTTAGAATCACCTGGAGAGCATTTCGCATACTGATGACTAATTCACTCTACACGTTTCTCAGTGTTTCTGTAAACTTAAAACTGCTCCCAAAATAGTCTATTAATTTTTAAAAACCTGATGTCCGGGCCTATGCCCACACTGATTCTTCGTCTGGGTGTGGGGCTTGGCCTTCAGCTTTTCTTATGCTTTGGGGGAGGGAGGTGTAGCATGGGTGAGAGCCCTGTCTGGTGACACCTGAGACTCCGGCCCCGGCTCTCCAGGCCTGGGCATGGGCTGCTTCCGAGGGATGAGGAACGCTAGACACCCTGCTGATGGCAAGGCCCAGCTGCCCAGCAGGAGGTGGAAGGTTTGTGCTCTGCTTTCTGGGCGCCCTCTCACTCCGATAAGCCTTGGCTGAGACGGTTAGTTCTGCAGTGTGTTGGGAGCAAGGTGTGGGTGCTGGGTAAGGCCTTCAGCAGACATTAGGCAGATGTGCACCCTGAGCTGGCTTAGGCAGTGGCTGCCGTGAGAGTCTGAGTCACCCCGAGGTGCCTCCCGCCACTTCCCATGCAGGATTACTACCCCAAAAGCCTGACTGCACCCCCAGCCTGCCCAGGGAAAGGCCTCACGTGGCTCACCTGTCATCCCTGCAGCTCTGGGAGTCAGGTCCCAGAGCTGGAAGTTCTAGAGAGATGTCAGGGCAGCGCGTTTTGTAATTACTGAGGAACAGGCCATACTTGTGCCTCTTGACCAAACAGGGGCAGCCAGAAACGAACATTCCCAGAAGGCAGGTGGACGGACTGGTAACCACGTCACCGACACAGGACGGCAGCCTGCCTCCTGACGGGAGGATGCCCACTGCGCCCTGGGACACCACCTGCGCCAGACTGATGGTTACTGGGGAGTGCTGCCCTTTTGAGAGGGGCCGCTTCCTCTTCTCAGCACCATTGCCTTGGCGCACTAGCAGGGAGGCCGCCAGAGGATAGGGCTCGGGGACGGCGGGCCGGTGGCAGTGCGGGTCTAAGAGCCCAGCCTTCGCAAAGTAACCCCTCGGGCCACGCTGTGCTGTGTTCCCGGCAAGAAGGACTCCCAGAGCCCAGTGGCCGTGGAGCTGATGGTCCCGCTCTCCTCCGCGGCCTTGGGGAAGGGGTGCCGGCTCCCTGCCAGCCCTAGTAAGGCTGAATGAGTCAGCAGGTCCTAGGTGCCCTGGTGACAGGACCCTGGGGTGGTGTGTGTGTGTGTGAGCGGGGCTGGGTCTGCCCAGGGACTGAGGACGGGGTGCCTGTGTTCACCCCAAGGCGCTCATCCCACTGGCAGCCAGGACGGGCCCTGCAGAGGAAGTTCGTGGCTGGGGTGGGAGCAGTGCCCCCGGGTCCTGGCCCCAGGGCTGCTTCCTGGGCGGTGCCTCCCCTTCTGACAGGGCACTAAATTTGCTTTCAGTGCTCAGAGATGGAGAGGAAGAAGGGTGGCCTTTCCTCCACTTGATGGGCCATCAGCTCTGGGTGCAGCTACTGTGAGCCTCCTGCTGCAGGAAGCCTCTCCTGACCGCTCTGGAGAAGGCCCCTGTTCATTAGAACTCAGCCAAATGTTGGTTGGCCTTTTCTTTGTTACCTGTTTTGGAAATATATAGACATTTTCACGTGGATTCTATTTTATGTAGATTTTTTCTTCCTGCTCCCAAAGCAGTCTTTCACTTCTTTGTGGTAAAGTCTTGAAGCCTCACGGTTGCAGGTCACTGGGCAGCACTGGCCGGCCGGGCACCAGACCCTCCAGCAGCTGTCCCGGACTTCCTCCAGGGAACAGGGTGGCCCTCAGCCCTGCCCCTCAGCCTGGGGCTGTCCTGGAGAGGTGAGGGGCCGGCAGGACCACCTGCCCCTAGCCTTACCTCTGGGCCACTCTTGACCTCTGAACTGCTCCAAGTTCAGCCTGTTTCCTGGGTGAGGAACCTGCTGGCTGGGGTGAGTCGTCACAGCTGTGTCGGGGTGAAGCTGAGGGTGAGCTCCCGGCCCTCCCTCCCAGGGCAAGTGAGCCTGTTCGTTCTGCTGGCAGGACGTTAGCTGCGGGAGGATGAGCTGGGGCCTGGCCAGCCTTTCAGGAGGGTCTGTGGATGGCTGCCGCTGCCCTGCTCTGAATGTGCTGCGCCCTCACCTCTCTCTCTCTGGTCTCAGTTTCTTCACCTGTAAATGAGGCAATAAAAGCTTGCAGGCCGCTCCCAGGTCTCTGATCTCTTGGTTTCTACAGCTCCAGATGGGGGTGGGGTGGGGCAGCCCTCCCACGCGGAATCCTGGTGGGCGGGCAGCCCTAGAGTGCCTGCCCAGATGTGCCAACCGGCTGGCCTAGGCGCTGGCAGCCAGTGGCTGGCTGGCTGGGTCGGGCCTCCAGGGAGCCGTGTGGAAGGGGCCGCCTGACACTGGGGCCCTGTGCACACAGGGCTGCCCAGCCAGCCGCAGGCAGTTCCCAGGAACCGGGAGAGGAGCCCAGGGCCAAGGGTGCCAGCAGCCTGGCCCCCACCACCCGTCCACCACACACCACGCGTGCGTAGCCCGGCTCCTGTATGCTCCCGTGGGAACTTTTCCCTTCTCCCAAACTCATTCGAGCAGTCTCTGGTCCAGGCCTCGCGGGACTGCTCTGCGCAGGAGCCAGGGGCCTAGGTTCTGGTCCAGGGCCAGGGGTGGGGTGGCTGGGGCCCATCCTTCTGCCTTCATAACCAGGCTGAGGCTTTCACAGCTGTAAAGAGACAACTGAGTCCCCCCAGCCCCCAGGGTTTGGGTTCTGTAAGACCCTTGCTGTGTGTATTCATTGCAGCACTGTGCTACTGAGCACAGATGGGAAAGAAACAGTGCCACAAATAGTGCCATACAGAAAGGGGTCCCCAACTGATGCCACACACAAGGCTAGGCTGGGCAGGTGGGCGAGTGCCAGGCGGGGCCCCGTCTGCTGGAGGGAGAGACGGTGGTGGCCAGGCTGGGGAGGGGGCAAAGAAGGCAGCCATAGAGCCACAGCTCCCAGGGTGGGGCCCTCTGCCCCTCGAAGGGGCTGGGTGGGGGCCCTAGTGGATAGGGGTGCTGGGGGGAGTGCTGCATTTCCTTCTAGGCTTCAGTCCCATGGTGGTGGCCTGGTGGGGGGGGGGGGCGGTGGCGGAGCTAGAAGGACCTGAGGCTTGATGCCGCT